AAACGCTCTTCCTGGGAATCGCCTCCTCCCTTGCCTCATCAGGACTGTTCCTGTGTCCTAGAAATCCTGCGGTAATTCTGGACAAGTAGATTTTGTTTGGGGCCACATTAGTACAAGCCACAGTCCACTTTCCTGCCCTGTTTGCACATCCCATCCCAGAAGCAGGGGTGACACTGTAGCTTTGACAAGTGGGCTACTCCGTGACTGGTTAGGCCCAACGAGAATATACAAAAGGCTCTCATCTAACAGTGGGGAAATGCCATGTTCTCCAAAATTCAGGAGGACTAGCATGAAGATAGTTTTATTATATAACACACAAGAAACTTTGGAACTCAAATCACCATATAAATACAGTATCAATGCTATCATTGTACCTTTTTCCTCTGTTCTCATGTAACAGCTTGGCTACAGAATGGACATGCTTTTTGCAAGTCTTGTGGGGATTTCTCACTTTAGCTGGTTATGCTCTCTGCCTACCCCTCAACTTGCTGTCTTTTCATGCTCCTGACCCTGCAGAAGTTAGTAGGCATGTGACCTACAGAACAGAGAGTAGTAGAGAGTAGTAGGCATGTGACCTACAGAACAATAGTTGCTTTGACTCAAAAGGAGCCCATCGTTGGCTGACAAGAGATGAACACCTCTGTCTTCAAAATCTGAGCTGAAACACAGTGAAACTAATGGAAGGGAGAGGGGCCAAAAAGCCAAGGGCTTGTGTAGACAAGGAACTGGCAACAATCATTCTTGGCCATGATTATTTCTGAATAAAACTAGTCTACAAAGCCACTCTGCACAAAGAAGTAGAAAAGTGGACAATTCATCGCAGGAGGAAGAAATCCAAAACCATGAAGCCCCAGAGAAAGTAAATAAGACAAAAAGCATAACACCTTGAAACCTGGCCTTACTTCCCTGCTGTGGGTCCACAGAGTTTCCTGATACTCAATGGACCCTTTCCCCATGAGCTAATTGGAGTAAGCTTCTATTTCATGAACTGAACGATGCATGACTCAGGCTAAAGAACCCAGACATTTTTGAAGGGAGAGTGCTTACCATGTTCTCTGTCTTATGCACATGGCAGATATTCACTATTTCTATTTTTGTTTGCTCCTCTGAAGAATTCTATGTAGCAGATATATTTACCTTATTTTATGAGGCACAGAACAGTGAAAAAATTTGTTTATGGTTATACAACCAAACATAAAAAAAACCTGAAATTCCAGCCAGGCTTGGCTGACTCCACAGCCAACATCTTCCCTCAATATTGCACTGCGTCTTCCAGGTAAAGTCACAGTGGCAGGCCTTTCCTACACACTGTTTGATCAGGGAGGAAAGACAGGAAGTTGGCTGCAAGAATAGCTCATGCTGTTTTTGTGAGCTGTAGTTACTGCTAGCTTTTGGACGTAAAATATGCCCAAAGATCCATGTGTTAAAGGCTTGGTCCCTAGTCTATGGTACAATTGAAATGTAAAATATTTAAGAAGTAGGCAGGGTATGGTAATGCATGTCTATAATCCCAGCAGTTGGAAGTCTGGGGCAGGAAGATTGCTGTGAGTTTGAAGCCAGCCTAGACTATATAGCAAGACCCGGTCTCAAAAAAAGAAAATCTTTAAGAAGAGGACCTACTAGAAAGAAGTTAGGTCAGTGGAGGTAGGCCCTAGAAGGAGACATGCGACTGTGACTTCTTCCTGTTTCTCTTTTGCTTCCTGTGTTCCTACTATGATTCACTGCCTCATCATGATCTACTATTACTCCAAAGGCAACAGGACCGTGTGATCATGGACTGCAACTTCCAACACTGTGAGCCAAAACCAACCTTTCCTCCTTAAGTTGATTATCTCAGGTATTTTGTCATAGTAACACAAAGCTGACCAACAGCTATATGATCTTATTACTCCTAGATTGTTTCCTGTTTCTCTGATCTTTCCACAGATATTTTAAGAGCAAGACTACTCCTTGGGAATATTCCCAAAAGGGGAAGAGTGCACATAGGCATGAAAAAGGCAAAAGTGCCTTGTAGCTTTGGCTAGCTTATTGAGGGGCAACGTGTGAGAGCTGCCTCCTCCATATTGTGCCAAACCCTGAGGTAGCCAGGTGGAGGAAGAAGAAAGGCCATGTCTAAACTTGTCTCTGCTGTGACCTTGGAACAACCACTGTGAGGCCTCTTTATCCTCATTTGTAAAACATAGCAGGCCTAAATGAAGTCAGGGTTTCCCAAAGTGGAGCCTTAATACTCATGGGCCATGAAATAATTTTAGTGCATGAAACAGCCTTAAGTGGCACTGAATCACAGTCATTTGCAACAACATGGGTAGAACTCAAAGGTACTATATTGAGTGAAATGAGCCCAAAACAGAAAAATGAATAGCACATATTCTCACTGACTTGTGGAAGCTAGAAAGTTGATCTCAAAGGAATAGAGACTAGAATAGTGGTTACCAGAACCCAGGGAGAGTATGAGGGAGGAATGGAGAGAAGATGGTTAACAGGTACAAGCATGCAGTTAGGATAAATAACTTCTAATGTTCTACATCAGAGAAGGATAACCATGGTTGACAATTAATTGAATATTTCAAAAGCAGCTAGTAGAGACAATTTGATATAAATGACACAATCTATATACATAGATTATAACTATATATTGAGAGGAAAGAGGGAAAGAAAGAGAGGGAAAAGGAGAAGGAAAAGGAGAAAGAGGAAGGGAATAAGAGAGAAAAGAGAGGACAGAGGAGAGGAGAGAGGAGGGACAGAGTGAGACAGAGAGAGACAGAGACAGTGAGAGCGCCTGTTGGTTCTGGAGATTGCTGTTCAATCCCAGAGTCTTTCATTCAGCATCACACAACTCCTGCCTTATCTTCTGTAATCCTCAAGGTACAGACTGGACAGTGGACACTTAACTTACAAACTCAATTCATTCCCAAGGGCTGGTTGTAACTCAGGTTGTCAGCTGAAGGCTCAGGCTCCTCTACACAGCCTTCGGTTTCTCTCCTGTATATAGGTGGATCTCAGTGTCCTTAGAGAGACATTGGCCCAGGATTTCTAATTTAACTCCATGTCAGAAAGGGTGTTGTAATGTTTCTCCCAGAACTTTTTCAGGGTAAATCTGTATCTGAGACATCTGGAAGTACAAGTGGTTGGCATTTGGGTCATAACTCAAGACTTTGGTCCTAAGTTAAGGCTAAAATTCCGGTCATAACCCAAGTTGTTTGTACATTAGGCCGGTCATAACTCTAGAGTCCCACTGTACCTAATTCACCTGTTTATCTCCCCATGCCTAATAGAGTACTTCTACTATTGTTGGATAAATGAATATTATCCTAAGTGAAATGAACTTTGAAAGTTAAATACAGCATGAAAGCTTGACACAATACCTTGCAATTGAATTTGAAATATAAATGATAAATTATTCATGGAAAACACCAAAAATAATTTTTAAAAAGTGGTCTACAGTATATTCAATTTGCTTAGTCATAGTTTATTAGCTCTGGGTCCTGTAGGATCATCTGGAGAATTTTAAGAGAACACCCAAGTCTAGTCCCAACCCAGCCCACTTAAAGGAAAAGTTCAGGGCCAGTTTTCTAGGTAGTTGTGATGCGCAGTCAGAGATGAAAACCACAGGGTATAGGGCGTAAGAGCTGGGCCAGTCTTGGTTTGTGTGCAGGAGTGAACTTCTGTTGCTAAAGAGACTTCAATGGATCTTATCTGTACAAAGGCAACGGAGATTTAAGTAACTCTGCAAAATAGTACCAACAGCTAGTTTATCAAGTGCTTACTCCTTAAAATATTTCTGATACCCTATGAAGTAAACAGTTTTTACTGGCTCCATACTGTGAATGATGAATCTGAGATTCCAAAGTACTTAATTTACCCACATAAGTAAGTAAAGTAGTCAAGATATAGGGGCTGGGGATTTAGTTCAGTGGCACAGTGCCTGCCTGGCATGCGCAAGGTCATGAGCTCAATTCCCAGTACCAGAGGGGGGAAAAAAGATATAAAGAGGTGCACCTGTTACTTGGGCTTCAGTGTAAAATGGAAGGTGACTTGGGCTGCAGTGACTTGTGAGTTTATATGCTGGTATGTGTGTTGGGGACTTGGGGTGCATTGTGTATTTGTGAAAACAGAAGACAACTGTAACACAAAACAAGAAAAGCAGGGCCCAGGGACATGGTACCAGTCTAGGTTCAAGGAAAAAAATATCAGTAAGGGACTCTTTGGAGAGTATAAAGTTATGGGGTTCTAACACTGAATGTATTATGCTGATTTGTGTGTGTGTGTGTGTGTGTGTGTGTGCGTGTGTGTGTGTTTCTGTCTTATAACTCCCTTATGAGGGCTGGGGATATAGCTCAGCAGCACAGCACCTGCCTGGCAAGCGCAAGGTCCTGGGTTCAATTCTTGGTACAAAAACAAAAAACAAAAAAAACTCCCTTATGGTAATCAGCACGTTTCAGCTCAGTTAGGGGGCTCTTGGGGAAGTATCCACATGGGGTTTGGACAGCAAAGAGGTGTCTACATAGTCCTGCCCTGAGGCCAGAAGCCAGGAGCCAAGTAAAGGTAGAGTGAGGAGCCCAACAACATGAGAACAAGCACAAGGCAGAAAGAAGCAGAAAGATTTCTGAGAATCAACCCTTTTCCCCAGATATAACAGAGGGAGCAGCCTCTGGTTAGAGGGTAGGCTGGACCCTGGTATTCAGAGACAGTGACCAGCAAAGAGGCCTCCTGTACCACTGTTCTTGATACACATAAGATAAGACGAAGCTAGGAACATCAATCTCAGAGTTTTATCACTCCAACAACTCCCACTGCATGCTGCAAACTGCTCACATAGGAGGGGAAGCAACCTCCTTAGTTTGGCCTTGGGGAAGTGGAGTGGGGTGTAGCTTGGTTCCTAGGCAGCATATGTCCTGCTGGTGTCACCTTACTTGCTTCCTTGGTTGGGGCTCCTAATCTGCCCCCAGTTAGGTCCCAATACCTTAGTAGCCAATGGTTGTTGGAAAATGAGATCCTACCTTTGGTTAGGGAGTGAATCCCGAGCTTGACTTGGGAGAAGTTTCCACTTCCGATTTCCCCTCGAATTCGGTAGAACCCGATCCGTTTCCCCAGTGTGATCTCTCTCACCACCTTCTCATCCTGGGACATGTCTTGTGTCAGCTTCTCAAAGGGCGTCAGCTGGCGCGTCTGCTCCTCCTCACCCTCCTTGCTGCACTCGGTCTGACAGCTGCTTTCCACGCTGTCACGCCGGTCCCACCTGGCATAGTGGGGGTTCACCAGACCGCCTCCATTCACGCACACGGCCGTCATCATCCACGCAGGCTCACGTCTCCATCTCAGCCAGAGCCACCGAATGGGGCTGGTTGTAGAAGAGGCATAGGCCCAAGAGCGAGAGATGCAGCTGAGGTGTGCCAGAGCCCAGTGTCTGCACAGAGGTCCTGCGGGCTGGGCAAAAACTCCTTGCTGGGCAGCCTCCTTCCCTGCGTCAGTGAGAGGCTGCAGAGGCTGCCCAGCCCAGCCTATAGCTGTTGGTGTCACTGGATGACCTTCCCACCTTCCTTCACCTTGAACTTCTAAGCTCTGACTGTACCATCAGACAGATATCCAGTTACATAGGACTCCCAAGTGGAGCTCCAGGAACTTCCTGGCCCAGTGCTCTGTGGTAGATGGCTGGTCCCACGATAAAGGCTCCAGCTTGCTATTTCAGTTGGTGGCCAGGGAATCTTGCAAGCTGATGTGTAAGAAGGTCCCCAAGTCCCTGCGGCAGATGCTCATCTCTGACAGTCTTCATTTTGTGTTTCACTTGCTGTCAAGGCACAGGAACCAGGAGATGTAATAATCTGGATCCCAGGAAAGAAAAATCTTGCAAATCACCCTTTGATCACATAGGCATCCAGAGAAAGCTCAAATCCCTGCAATGGCAGTAGCTGGCCTTTATTTAGACGAGCCTTCCTCTAAGCACCGAGCTGTCTCAAAAATTTGATAGGTGCTGGGTCATCTTAAGAGCAAAGAGTAAAAAAATGATTAGTCCACACTAATGTATTGGGCATAAGATTTATGGTGAATGTGATACTTTTTTGTGAAGATTTATCTAAATGCATTCTACAAATTTATGACTCATATCAGTGGTAGATGACTGATTACATATGATTTAGAAAGAACAAAAATATAGATACACTTATCCTCCAACATACATTTTAAGAAAGCCCTTAGGTCTATAAATCTTTCTGGTGAAACAGTTTTTCTATTTCCTAAAATACAAGAAATATGCAAATTGTGTTGAGTTGCTTCAAAACCAGATTTTAAAAAATATATCCAATGATAGCAATAAAGATTCTCTATCAATTTTCAAAAATTTTGGGGCCGGGGAGATAGCTCAATGGCACAAGCGCCTGCCTGGCCAGTGCAAGCTCCTGAGTTTGATTCCCGGTAAAAAAAAATTCAAAAACTTTTATATTTCTGCAAATAGTAGTTACATTTCCTGTAATGCCTCAGTGTTCTTGTACAATTTTTCCTATACTTCCTCCTTTCATTCTTTCTTTGTTATTGTAGCGACAAAGGCTAATTTCTCACCTGGACTTATCAATACATCTGATCAGGTGTCAACCTCTAGGCTCAGCACTTTAGTTTCAGGATGAGGAAAGGGAGGACAAACAAACTTACAGCATCTTTTTTTTTTTTTTTTGGTACCAGGAATCAAACTCAGGACCTTGCACTTGCCAGACAGGCGCTTGTGCTGCTGAGGTATATTCCCGGCCCTAGCATCATCATTTATGAGAAATACCACCCAGCTAGACCGTCTCCTCTGCACTATCGAGTAGAAATAATCTGTTTTTCTGCACCCCCCGCCACCCTGCCACACGTTCTGCATTTTCTTAAATGTCTCACCTTCACAAAGGTAGGAACCAGGTTTAATTCATCTACACATCCTGCCCCCGGCTTCTCTCTCTCTCAGCATGGATTGTGATATCCTGCATATATTTTCACTAAATGTAGCTGAACTTGCTTTTGGGGCTGGAGCATTTTTGAGCCCAAAATAGTTGAAAAGTTGAGAGATTACCTTGGAAATGTAGATCTCCAACTCTCTTTGATGCTCTCCCCTCACCAGAGTTAAGAAAAGGTTTGCCTGTATTGTTATTATGGTTACGCCTGGGTTGCCAAACACATGTAACTGGGTTGCCAAACACATGTAAACATGTAAGGAGAGATAAGAGGAGGTTGATACCCAGGACTGTTCCTATTTCTGGATACAGGAAGAAACTGGAAAGACGGATGCAGGATACAAGGTTAAACAGGGGCCAGGTAATAGTAACTAAACACATCTCCACTGAGATCAGTCTGATTAGGATGTTTTAAAAATACTGTTTGAAGATAAAAGATCCTTAAATGATTGAAGAAATCAGAGTCACAATAATTGCTCTGGAGTCACAGAGTCCATGGATATTCTGACAAAGCCTACCACCTCATCCCCAAGAAAAAGCACAGCCACACAACTTGAATCCAGTTTTAAAGGGTTCACAGGAACTCTGAAACCCATCTCAGGCTAAGAATCTCTGTGCAGGTCGAGTGACAGTAGGTGATCTCAGGTTTCTGGCAGAAGGCAATGCAGTGTATGAGAGACGGCACATGGAAGCGCTAATGGTGATTCTGAAAGAAACTTTAACCTATGTGAAATCTCTGTATACTGATACAGGGACTGCATATAGATTCAGTGCTTGAATGCTCACGATCCGGCAGACTATGAAGAACTTCTTGGCTCTGTGTCCCTTCAGAGTGCCTCACACTATGCTGTCCTTGTAACTCACTTACCTGTCCCCAAACCAGGTAAGCAATGGTGGGCAGAACCCTGTGCTTTAATTCTTCTATCTCTTAGAGTACTACACAGTGCCTGGTACTTCTTGGATAAAAGCTTATTAAAGGAAAGAACTAACCTACTAATTTATCTACTGTTACATGTAGGTATGATTTAGTACAGGGAAATATTTTTATTTGTAAACTAATAACACTATACCAACATTTAATTATCTCAGGAAACTCACATTTCCAAGGCGTGGCTACTCTTTACTAGCTGCTATAATCCCTGGCCCCACATTCATGTGTAAGGGAAAATTTAATCCAAATTCCACTATCTGACTGAAAATCTGTGTCCTTGGCCTCAGCAATTCTATACCTAGAATTTATCTTGCACACACATATGCATGGATATATGTATTTCTGTTATAAAAAGATGGATAGATATTTACTGCCACATTTCTTCAACTAGAAAGTTTAAATGACCATTAACAAGGAACTAGCTAAATATCACACACACACACACACACACACACACACACACACACACACACACATGATGGATTACTATGCACTCATGAAAATGAAGGAGTTATAATACCCAAAGTATTATAACCTCTGTTAAGAGGTGGGGTGAGTATGTATAATGATATATCAGAAGTGTACAAAGGAAGAGGGTGTATCTAAGAAACTGGCACATATAACCTAACCTTTGGGGAGGTTAGGTGTTGGTAGAGAATGGGACAGGAGAAAGGTATACTTTTCACTACTTACTCTTCTGTATGATTTACATTTTCCCTATGAGCATGTGTTTACCTGAAAAAGAAAGCCATTAAAATATGTAATGTGTTGCCCTCTTAGACAGTTAGTGAGCAGTAAAATTGCTTTGCTTTGACTACACAGTAAAATTAGGACATTTGATTCTAACCAAGTACTTTTTAAATCAAAAGATAATTAGGAACTTTTGACTAAAGGAACAGAATTTAATATTATCATTACTGTTACTTCCTCCCATAGGGAAAGAAGGAATAGAACAGGAGGAGACAAGGTATAAACCCACAAAAATGAAGAGAATAAGAAAGAAGATGGCAGCAGCTGTGGGATGTGAACACATTTAGGGAGATGAAGAGAAAATTGAGGGGTGGTGAATAAGTTGGCAAAGACAGTGAAGGAAGCTGCGCTGTAAAGATATGCCGATGAGAGTCCAGTTCCGAGTGCTCAAAAGACTTCAAACTGGGGGCTGGGGATTTAGCTCAGCGGCAAAAGCGCCTGCCTGGCAAGCGCAAGGTCGTGAGTTCGGTTCCCGGTACCGGAGAAAAACCAAACCCCCCCCCCAAAAAAAAAAAAAAACCAAAAGACTTCAAACTCCAAGAAATCGACTACCTCAAAGGCTGGAAGAAGGTCGCAGGACCAAAACCATGGGAGCTGTTTGAATGGGAAGCAGTGACAGCCCCAGGCCTTTCCCCCACCCCCACCAAGGCCACCTGGTTACTTCTCTCCTTGCCTCCCCACCCCACAGCCCTGCTCACAACAGGAGGCACCAGAGAGGAGTCACTGCCTGTGGAACCCAGGGTCCCCTTTCCCTACAGTCCAAGCCTCCAGAATGGAGGAAATCAAGCATAGAAACCTGTACACAGGGGATTCTTTTTCTGGATAGACTAGCTCAGAGGCCCAGACCTCCTAAAACTTACACAGGGGCTCTCCAGCACAAAGTCACCCAGCTACCTACTGCACAGTCTGCGGGATGCTGGCGTCTCACACAGAGAAGGAGCTTCAGTCACACCTGAATGCCTTCCTCATAGGATGAATACGCACGCAAGAGGCATCAGATACCAGACGAAAGCTCCGAACTGAGAGAAACTGTGTCCAACCAAAACTACCACCACCACAACTGGAAGGAACTTAAAGGAGACAGAAGTGAGGAAGCACAAGGGAAAACAACCATAAAACCAGAAAATAATGCTAAAAAACCGCAACAAACCATGAGTCAAAAACAAGTCAGACAAGAAAGAGCTCTCTTGAAAATTATTTACTTGAGGAATTGTTTCTAAAAATCTAGAAGAGATAAACCATAAAGAAAAGACAAGAAAACCAGATAATCAATTCAGAAAGCCCAACATCTAATTATTAGCATTCCCAGGCATCTGTTATACTCTCAGTAACAGAAAACATATGGCTTCTGCGGTACTCCCACTGCCAGTGCATTTCAGAAATTTCAAAAACAGTAATGAATGAGGAAACACTGGATTTCCACACATTCTAATAGAATTAAAAATTAAAGAAAAAGGACTAGGAGGGTAGCTTGATGGTAAAATGCTTGGCTGGTATGCGGGAGGCCTTAGGTTCAAGCTTTAGCACTGCAAAAAAACGTATTGAGGAAAAACATCTAACAGTAGAGAAATCCTGCACAGTGTGTGTGTCTGTGGGTATATACATATTCATTTTGCAAAATACTTTTTCCTATAGACTTTTCTTAGATGTCTGGAAACAGAAATCCTAATTACAGGTTATGGGATTACTAAAAACAGCATGTTTGGATTATTTTTTAGTAGCACCCTCAAAATCTTACACTACATCATATTAAAAAATAAGAAAATAATAGAAATTATGACATACCTAATTGCAGATGAGGTCTACTCTTTCTTAGATGCAGTGAGGATTCTGTTGTTGTTTTACCTTTTACACTTTTGACTCTGACCAGTTTTTATGGACACTAATGAGGGCTTGGAAAGCCAATGAGACAAAAATATGGAGTCATGTCATTGTAGATCAAAGTCTCTGGAGGAGGCAGAATGGTCCTTAATTATTAGCTTCCTATTGCTGCACAGCAATGCACTGAGTAAGATTAAAGCAAACAGAGCTTACTTGGTAATTTATTTTCTTGACTTGCAACCCGCTGTGAAAATAATATCAAAGGAAGCCATCTCGCCTTTGTTCTCTTTGTCTGAGTTTAAATTGCCAAAGTTCTGGGTAAGGCTTTCAGACAACCTCCTCATTGGCTGGCAAGGCCAGGCACTGGCTTGCGTGGAGGAAAATCTGGGCTGTTTCCATGTGTAGCAAGGAGACTCAATGAAAGCCAAACCTGGTTGTCCTACCTCTCAAACATGGTGCATTCTCCGGGGGAATCCTTAACAAACACACCTCATTCGGAAGAGTTTATTCTAGCATTCACAAGTCATTTGCACCTTCTAACTTTTGGCCTTAATTCATTCCTTCTCAACACACAAGTCAAAAGCCCCACTGGGAACAGTGGGCGCATTCTGAAGCGATGGAAAGTGAATGTGTGCTAGCAGCGCTGCTCTCTGACATGACCTCTTCCCCACTTGTTATTACAAGCTGCTTTCCCCAGCCCCCAGGCTCACATCTCCTCAGATCCACTCACCTCCTCATCCTCTGCCAGTCCGCCCATCTGACAGGCTTACATCAGCTCTACCGCACTAGAGGATCCCTTGATCATCAGGGCCACAGACTCAAATGCCTAAAGGTTGCGCAGGGGATCTGCCTGGATGGCCCGGGGCAGCATCCACGCCTAGCACGGTGGGGCTGCCCTTGCAGAGCCCTAGCCAGGGTAGCCATGCTGGAACACAGGTTTCCTTGTGTCACATTTTGCAGCTCTTGAAAAGAAACTGGCAATCAAGAATTTTTTGGTAGGGCAGGCGTGGTGGTGCATGCCTGTAATCCCAGCACTTGGGAGGTGGAGGCAGAGGAGGATTGCTGTGAGTCTGAGGGTTACATAGTGAGTTCACCTTAGGCTACATAGTGAGTTCAAGGCCAGCCTGAACTGCATGGCAAGCCCCTATCTTGAAAAAAAAGAAAGAATTTTTTGGTAAACTCAGTCTTTTTTTTCCAGTATTGAGGGTTGAACCCAGGAACCACTGATGTACATCTTCGCCCCTTTTATTTTATTTTGAGACAGGGTCTTACTAAATTACTAAGGATGTCCTCCAACCTGCCATCCTTGTGCCTCAGCCGCCTGAGTAGTTGGGATTATAGGCACGTGCCACCATGCCCAGAAACTGTCCCAATCTTTATAAGGTAGATTAAATATTTCAAAAACACTGTGTGCTTAAGTGGAACTAAATTGTCAAGACCTGATTTGGCCTTCAGGTTGCCAATTTACAGACTATATTTTATAGGTGCATCATTCAAAAAAGGTGTGTGTGGGGGCAAACCACAGGTTCATGGTCAAATACATCTGGGCATGCTGTGTGTTGGGCCTCTCTCTGGGGTTTGCATTGGTACCCTGTGGTCTTCTGGTTAAGACACATAAGCAAGGGCACAAATGTTTATTTAATTCAGTGTTCCCCAAGTTTATTTGGCCATTTCAGTCATTCTTACAGAATAGCTGTTGTCGCTGGCATTTTTCTTACAACTCTGACCTTAGAGTTTGACAAAGCTACAAAACATTAAACTAATTGTCAATTACATGTCTGTAAGAATGTGGGCCCCAACAGGATGATTGTGAAAAGGGGTCAGTGTAGAATAAAATAGAAAACAGATCCATTGAATTTAATTGAATCTACAAGTACAGCAGACTGACTGGCAGTTGCCTACATCTGTGGGTTTGGGATGACACAGCAGTTCTTGGTGATTAGGTATCTTTAAACTTGGGAGGATTTATGTCAGAAATGTTTAAAAGACTCAAGCTCTACAATACTAATATTTTTGTTTTCATGAGCTTGTGCAAAATTGGTATTTTTATGTACGTTTTACGTGAAGAGGATTTCACACAATACAGTAAAAAAATAGCTTTGTGATTCTAGTTTAAAATGAAGAATTGACTCAGGAGGCTGAGGCAGGAGGATCATTGCAAGTTCAAGACCAGCCTGGGTTACAAAGTGAGCTCAAGGCCAGCCTGAACTGCATACTGAGACCCTGTCTCAAACACACACACAAAATAAAATAAAATGAAGAATGGAGCAGTGTTTTTTTAGAACAGCAAGCAGGGCATCAGTCTCATAAAATGAACTGCTCCAGTCTGTGGTTTTAAATTTAAAATGTAGTATTTTGCTGGGTATGGTGGCACCCGCCTGTAATACCAGCATTCGGGAGGCTGAGGCAGGAGGATAGTTCGAGACCAGCCTGGGCTACAAAGTGAGCTGAAGGCCAGCCTGAACTGCACAGGGAGACCCTGTTTCAAAAAGACAAAAAAAAAAAAAAAAAAAAAATTGTAATATTTTAAGGTAGCCTTTAAGCATATTTGACGGAGTTTAAAATTTACACTGTTTATATGTTTAGTCATATTTATAACAAATACAGATACTTTTGTTAATCAAATAAAATTACTTAAAAGGAAATGAAATGAAAATGCAGCTTAAAATGCTTAAAAGGGTTTCACTAGGTTTTAAACAGGATCAAACATTAATCTTTAAAAAATGATTGCTAGATGAAATGTACCTGGAATTTGCTTCAAAATAACTAGGAGTGGGGGGAGTGATGAGAATTTAAATGAAACAAAATTGAAAATGAGTCAATAATTTTTAAAGCTGGGTAAGTATATAAAATCTTATTACATTGTTAGCACCATTTTGTAGATGTTTAAAATTCGGTAATACAATTTTTAAAATAATTGTTAAAATTTGCTTCATTAAAAATATAGTATTTGTCCTTTAAAATGCTAGGCATTCTGTAACTGGTGACAGTAGCTGCTGGATGCATGCAGGCCAGACTAAATGAATATTTGACACGATAGCCCTGTAAAGTGAGATTCTGTCACTCCCTTTCCACGGATTAAAACAAAAACAAACAAAAAACAAATCTAAGAACAAATGAAGTTAAGAAGGTTGCCCTTGCTTCTCTGACTGCTAGCTCCCGGACAGTGAAGAGTACGTGTTTGGTAACCTTAGGACACGTGAAACAAAGAATTTCAAACACATGAGGAAGAGAATAGGGCCATATCCCATTAGAGATATTGCAAGAACTCAAGTCCATCCTCATAAGTATTTTAATCTCATTTGTAATTCATTCAAAAACATAAATATTCCCACCTTCTACAAGGAGCTGTTTGTCTCCTAATAAACAAGCATTGACACTAAACATACTGAATGGAGTCTCACAAGCAGGTAGCCCTGAGCAGAAAAACCAAACATATTCCTCATCTCCATAGCAATAAGTAATTTATGAAGCAGAGTGGGGATACTCGTGCCTATTTGCAACTCATGGTTTACTTTTGGAGATTTAAAAATATTTGTAAGTCAAAACAGAAACTGCTCTTTTGCTGCCTTATAACTTTCTTCAGTTCTAATGTAGTGTGCTCACAAAGAAGCAGAAAATAACTTGAGCGATGGCCTTAGTGATGCTAGAAAAACTTCCTTCTCTGTTTGAGCAAAATTCAGGAAAGTGTATCATATATATGGGCTTCAGGCCAACCACTATGGGTGAGGAAAGACGGTTGTAGGTCAAAATCTCTGAACTTTCATCACTGTAAAAAGCTCAAGTGTTTAAAAAACAAAAACCTTTATTAGCCGGGCGTGATGGTGCATGTCTGTAATCCCAGCACTTGGGAGGCTGAGGCAGGAGGATCACTGTGAGTTTGAGGCCAGCCTGGGCTACAAAGTGAGCTCAAGACCAGCCTGAAATGCATAGCGAGACCCTATCTCAAAAAGACAAAACAAAACAAAAGAACAAACCCTTTATTAAGAGCCTCCCAATACTCTATAAGTGATCCTTTCACACAGAATAAGCAACTCATCTGAGATGCCCCTCCCTAGTACCAGGGATGGAACTCAGGGCCTCACACGTGCTAGGCAAATACTGTATTCCTGAGCTATATCCCTGGTTCTTATTTGTTCTTAAGTTTCCCACGTGATTCTGTTGTGTAGCCACTTTGAAAATCACTGTTCTACAACAGAAGTTTTAGGTGGGCATAGTCTCTATCATAATTAAGTTTACCTGTGTGTCTTAAGTTCTGGTCATGGGCTGAGAGCGGAAGTGATACAGGCAACTTCCAGATTGTTGCCTTAAAAGAAAACAGGAAATGAAGAAAAACAAACAAAAAAAAGGAAACAGGTCTGTCCTATCCTCTTTCTTCCCGTATTCATGCTGGTTGGAATGTACATACAGTGATAGAAACAACCATTTCAGGTCAAGACACAAGCCATACACTGAGAAAGGCAGAACCACAATGAGATGGAGCCTGGGCCCATGGCCCCATCACCGTCTCAGTCCTGCCTGCTTCCTTGTAGATGATGATGCAAGAGAAGTATGATTCTGTTGTGGTTTGAATCTAAAATGCCTCCCACAGGCCCAGGTGCTAACAGCTTAGTTGCCAGCCTGTGGTTCTCTGTACTGGTGGGAGCCCCAGGAGGAACAGCCTTGAGGAAGGAAGGAAGGTCCTTGGGAGCAGGCCCTGAGTGGGGAGTGGGACCTGCCTCTCTTTTTGCTTCCCAGACACTGTGATATGAGCAGCCTTCTTTGCCGTGCACTACCACCATGATATGCCACAGGCCAAAAGCAATGGGGCCAAGTGACCTCTGAAAGTATGAGACAGAATAAACTTTTTCTCCCTTTAAACTCTTTATCTCAGGTATTTAGTCACAGAGAGAGAAAGCTGGCTAATACAGATTCTCTCTCCTTTAAGCAACCTAGTGTTTACATAGAGTGGTTTGTATTTCTTATTTCAATTGTTTCTGTATAATT